GCCAACACACTGTACATACATAGTACAGCTACATAGCTTGGAACACGGAGTATGAACGTTAAAATCCATTTCCATCCAGCGACACACCCGCGCCATCGAAAAAGGGAAGCCTCCGCTGTATCGCGTCTATTCACCACGGCTTTTTCAATTTAATTAGCCATAGGCGACTTGCACAGGCGAACAGGAACACGTGAACGAGACGCTGAAACCGATCGACCTGTACAGATTTCCCTTTCGTAATTGCCCTTTATGGAACGCGCACGCGAATTGACATCGCGCCGCGCAGAAATGCCCGTTTGTATTCATGCGGACGTGCCCGTGGATAAATCGCGAGCTGGACGAGCAGCCACGCAGCTGCGATTCCGTATACGATCCTTCCATAAGAAACCGTTTCCCGCCACGCGTGCCATTCTCTCGAATGCAAATTCGCGGGGTATCGCGACGACCTCACTCCAACGGGAACGTTTCAACACGTTACGAAACAACGCTCTCAAGGGTTTTCCAACGATAAATGTCGAAAAAGTCTTTCTACTCGGTACAGATACCGTGATAGTTTCAACATTGTTTTGGAAAGCGTGTATAGGTTTGTTCAAAATTCGCGCACTTATAGTCTCGTACTTTATGGTTACACGTAGTTACCAAAGGAGATAGAAGTTGAAGATGTGAGATGAGATGAGTAGAGACTTAGGTTCGTTTGAAAATCGCGCGTCTAACCAGTTATACGTAGTGGAGGGGGTAGAAGTTGGAGGTGTGAAGAGAACAACGAGTTTTGAAGGTTTTTTAATCTTCGACTATATTTTATTCTTTTTATACGGTAAGCTGGTTCCAGGGAAACGTTGCAACATTGTGAAAGACTACTGTAAAGAGATTTCCAATGGTAAATGAGGGAAACGTTTCCTAGTTTGTATGGAAGTTGGAAATTTCTATGGAAACAGATTTTCGATATAATTTTGCGTGTAGTTTCGGAACAGTTTTGAAAAGTGTGGATAGGTTCGTCAAAAAATCAATATGCCTTACACATAGTGTAGGCTGTGGAGATGCGAAACTGTGCAACATTATGAAAGAATGCTAAGAATGATATTCCAATGGTAAATAGGAGAAACATTTTTCCTACTTTCTATGGATATTGCGATGATTTTGATTGTAGTTTTAAATGTAGCTTCGATACAGCTTTGAGAAGGGTGAATAGGTTCGTTCATAAGCCGAACGCTTAATAAATTGTAGGTACTTAATGGAGGAGAATGGAGGAGAGTTCTTCTATTCTCGAAATTATACAGTACGTCAACAGGACTGCAACGAAAACGTTGCAACACTGTGAGAGACTGCATTTAAGGATTTTTCAATGATAAATATCGAACAAGTTTTCCACTTTGTATGGCTAAATATCGTGATGATTTCAGCATGATTTTGGAAAGCGTTCGAATCGGTTCGTTCAAAAGTCACGCGTTTAACCAGCAATGGTTGATTAAGAAATGATGGACCTTACTGTATAAAATCCGATGAAATTCGTCAATTTCGCTCGATTGCTTAATTTGCCAAGAAAAATTCAACAGAATGTTAGCAACTAAACTTATGAGACTTCCTGTACACACCCTACGACTTTCCAGACTTTAAGAATCTAAACGATGTATCGAGTCTGGCTGGGAATAACGATGAGATCAGACGGAAAAGAAAAGTTTCGCGCGGTAAAATAGCAAACGCTAGGCTGCATTCGTTCCGATGGAACAAATTAACGAGCGTTTCTTGTCGCTTTCGAAAGCACACGCGGCCTTTCAGTCGCATTAAGCCCGCCAGACGCCGTTAGTTCCGGCTGAAACACGTTGGAAAACACCTTCTAGTCGATTTTTTTCGCGCGCCGACGGCACACGGCATTTCACGACGCAGAAATTTCCAACTAGCGCGACACGTTATCGCCGCGCGGTTCTCCGAGAATTCCCGCACATTTTCCCTTGGTTAGTCTTTGAACTCCACGGTGAACGTCGCTCATGTACAGTGAACTTTTATCGACACACCTATACGCACACTTTGTCACATAATAATACCCAGTTTGATTTAATGTATCCTTTGTTCTTTAAAAAATTACTACTTTTGGTATTTAGTGCTGTCGCGTTTCACGTACCTTATCTTTGTCATTACGTTGAGTTCAATGATTCTTTGTTACCGTGGTTATCGTTATCTTGACCCCTAATCAAAATTGTTACATATACAGTAGATTAAAAAAATATTGGCACATATCCTTATCCTCTAATAAAGCTTGAAACGTCAGCCTCTACGCTTTTAGAGTATCAAATTTTTATAATCATATGAAACTACCGATCATAAATGATACAATTAATTAGCATATAGATGTTATAATAAATAGCGTGCCAATACTTTTTGTAACCACGGTATAAGAATTTCCGTCAGGTATTTTTACTACTGGCTTCTCGCAAAAGTTCGCGAATCTAAACCTAAATATATAATCCATTTTATATTAAAAAAACAACGAGAATAGCCTCGTTACACGTTTTCCTGTCATCTTCAAATGAAACATTACGCTAACGCAACTTTGCTTCTTAATGGATCGATATTACAGGTCTGTGCATCGCGTATTCAATTTTATACTTTATCGTATGATCTTTGATTAGTTTTTCTTGCGCGCAAACTTTATTTGCGAGCCTGGAAGCCGTTAGGCACAACGTCAGATTTGTTGGCGCCGCGCCAGTGTATGAATTCTTGCGAACATGTATCAGCAGATCGCTCTTTTCCCATTCAGTCGACGCGCAAGCATTAAGTCCGGGGTCGACCATGTTCAAACAACAACCGGGTAAATCCCTCGGATGCCTAAGCGTGTTTTGACGCGCATACCGCGGATAACTACACAAAGAACGCTGGAAAATGGAACAGCTTTGTTATTTTAATTTTTCGAGAGAAGAACGCGGCCGACTCTTGAGAAAATTCTGAAACTCTTGCGATCGTGAGAAACATGTTGTACTTGATACTTACTTCCCTCTACGCATCTCATATAACGTGGTATTTGTAGAATGAATAGAATTTGCAATTCAATTTCCATCGAGTCTAACAGCGAGCGATAAGCGGAGAACTAAAAGCGAAGATATAAATCTGCCGTGGCTTTCGATTGACATCGTCCAAGTGGATATAAACGAACACATTAATCTGAATTCTTTTGGACTATTACATTTTCATCGCTTTTGTCCGTCATCGGCACGTACCACACCCTTTTCTAACTATTGTCTCAAGTACCATTATACAACTATAGAGGTACACTTTATAGCTCACATAAATTAATCCCTCGAGTTATCCAGCGACCAAAGCACAACTGAAAATAATGCCAATCACAAGCTCGAGTCAACAACGGCCACAGCCGTAGGATTCAATTAATGTAGCCTAACTAAAAGTCTGGAAGTAGCCTCTAACGTTACAAGAATCGGACAATACGACTATAAATTCCGTTAGCGACCATTCAGAGGAACTTCTAGCCGTACGGTAACCTCTAACACGCGTGACCGACGGTAGAGTGCGTGAAAAGTGGACAAGTCGGGGCCAAACGATCGATTCCCACGTAGCACACGCCAACCGTTTACGATCGAATTGCAACGAAAACGAAATCGGTCTCGCGATACGTGCATGGCGGGCAATTACGCTTGTTCTGCCCACGTGACGCGAACGCGTTGCGTTTAGCCGGTTGATTTAGTGGCCGTTTAATCCATTTAGAGATGGAAAACGCAAGTGGAACTGGAAGCGAGACGGTTTTTGCTCCGGTGTCATGCTAATACGATTTACGAGTGGCGAGTCGCCAGCGGAAGAGAGTTATCAAGGCGACGTTCAAACCGTCGTTTCCTCGCGCATGTACACTGGTTAAGGCTTTATGCGAGGGATTTCTTGTTTTCTATCTTTTTCTTTTTTTTTTTTTTTTGTAAAATTATGGGGCCACATGCGACGACGATACATCGGTGCGCTTTGAAACGCACGTAACGTGCGTTGGTTAGAGGACACTTTGACGAAGGTTGGGAATTTTTGTTTTCCGATTGTCGAACGTGTATGCGTTTTAGCGTGGATTTGGCAAGGTTACAGAGTGAGAAAATTATGGGAACGGGACTCCATGTGAAACGACCGTAGACGAGATTTTCGATTTTGTACGCGACGGCGAATTTCATTTTGTCATATAGAAAATCTCTTTCGTGGAATAGAGAATTCCCTTTGTGGGAAGAGATGACTTGTTGCGGGGTTTGTGGGAAAGGAATGTGATTTTGTGAGAGCCACCGATAAACGATGAATTATGGAACGTGAATTACACGCGTTTCTTTCGCCTTTCAACGCCGGAATACGAATAAACCACTCTCTTATTCCTGATCTCGTGATATTCACGGTCAGCGGGGAGCAACGCCATAAATACACTCCGATAGACCTAAGGGCGCGAGTTATTTTCATAGTCTGGGAATATTACAGTCGCGTCACCTTTTTAAAAATACGAGTTCGTTTCCTAAGCTGACTTGCGACTCTGGAATCCCACGGGTTGAAACAGACAGCGCTTTGTCTATAAAATCATCGATAAAGACATAGTCCGCTAGCAATTGGCCGTATATTGGACTACTTTTATAGTTACTTAAAAACAATATAAAATATTGTGGTTAATATTCTACATCGAAAATTATATCGAAATGAAAGGAATCTTTTATTATTATAGAAGAAAGTAAGCAATTTCTTTTACTAATAAAAGCAATTCTTCGAAAGTTCCTTTCGAAATAACTATACTATATATGATAAATCTTGATTAATTCCTTTTGATTAATTTTTATTAATTGCCTGAAGGCAAAAACTGCTTTTAAAATCATTTTTATGATATCTATATACATATTTTGCAATCTCTTGGTACAGCTTCGAACAAAAGTCCGCAGAGTTGAAAATTATGTCGCGGGACGTTTCGAAAGACGAATTATCATCAGAAAGCTAAATCACAGCATTCTATACCAAATAACGAGATACAAAAGACCACTCACCATTTCGTCCAGGCTCTTCAGATCATTGGTGACGATCTGCGGCTGGGGTCCATAAATGAGACACGGTTCCTCCTGTTGCATATCAGCGTAGTCGTCGTCGCTCTCCTCGTTTCCATTATTTCCATGAGCTCCGTTCGCCGCTTTATTCTCCGCTGCGATCTCTCGATCGATTTGTCTCTCCATTTGTACCAACATTGGCGCCAGCATACCAAATTTCGCGCCCCGCCTGGCGACCTCCAATAGACAGAGAATCACATGTCGTTCGTTCTTGCGCATAATCAGGTCATCGGTCTCGAATAACAGACACTCGATGATACCGAGGCTGTTGCGGCACCAGCCGATAAAGTTGGACACGTTGTCACGGGCGAAGAAGGTGCCGGCCTTCGCGTTCGGCAGGAAGGCCACGTCGCTCAGCTGGCTCATCGGTAACGCCAACGACGAGGTCATCGATCGTGTCATCGAGATTTTGCGCGCTTGACGCCGCGCCACGTACTCGGCCGCCGACTTGCGTACGTTGTTCGCGTGCTGCAAACAGAAGATAAAACGGTACTGGTTAGAGGCGCGTGAGGAAGCAACAAACGTACTGGATGATACTGGTTCGAAGAATCGCGATGGTTTTGACTTGAATTTTTCTGTGTTTCACATAATTTGGCTTGGTTTGCCTTGGTTTGCCTTGGTTTGGTTTGGTTTGGTTTGGTTTGATTCAATGGAATTGGCAAATGTGATACTCCAATGAGCCGGAAGAGATTGGATATTTGTATATTTGAGTGTATTGTATTTAAGAAAGAAGCGAACATACCGACTTGATTAGTCGTGATGGTTCGAGTTGAATTTTTGTGTTTGATTTGGTTTAGTTTGGATTGCTTTGGTTTAATGAATCAGTAAATGTGATACTCTAATGAATGTAGTTTGGTTTGATGTCGTTTGGTACAGTGAGAATGACGAATTTGTCGCTTCGATGAGTCAATGAATGTTAAGTCAAATCTTCGTACGTTTATCTGTGTTTAACTTGATTTGATTTTGTTTGACAACCGCCAAAATAGTGGTTATCACGCGTCAGTAAATCTAGACGAATTGTTTTCTTTGGTTCGTTGATCCCATTTATATGAAGATACTTGACCATCGATCACTGAAAGCATTGAAACTAATTCAATTAATTGTACAGACTCGATGCTCGATTTCACGAGGAAAATAATCTGCAAACATAATTCTATGATTCGTAACAGTTATTTAAAATTCATTCCACTATATCAAATCCAAATTAAACTCAAATTATCTGTCTCGGTTGCACAAACAATGATAGAGTTGGCTCGCACCTATCTCATTCTCCTTCCTACTGACTTCTAGAGCCACACGACTGGCATTCACCGGTAGGAACGCGGCCCGTTCGCTGCCGCTCATTTAAACAGTCAAACAGACACCGGCGATAACATCTTAACACCCGTGAAACTAATTGTTCCATTAATAACAGCGCGCACCTTTCTTCTCTGCCGCGATTAACATTCACGCGAGCGATAAATATTGTACAAGGCACCGAGGAATCTTCAACTTCTGCACGATGTAGCGTCCATGTATTCATAAGACGTATACGATTTTATCATCGACTATGAGCTGCTTAAGTAACCGGCTGATAATTGGATATCGAGATGATGTAAATGAGCTTACGTCTAATAACAGGTTTTGCTGCGTGGTCTATCGTTTAATATCGAGTAGTGCGCCTGTTACAATCAGACGACCTGTTATATACGCCCTTTTCTCTATTTTTCATTTCTCTATGTTAATTAAAAATGAAACGACTTATCAAGACGTAAAATCACGAATCATTAGACCGCTCGATACAACACCAACTTCCATTCGAATTTTAATCTGAATCTCAACTTCCATTTAAATTTAGAGTCAATTCTCGTTGTAACAACGGAATTGCTCATAATTCTCAAACCCTGCCTGTAGCAAGGCTTCCAGTATACTTTGTTAATTTCCTGTTAATCAATCATCGATCCAACCATTTCCCGATCCTTTCTTATCAGCCTGGCGCGTCAGTCGCATGTCTAAAGAAAGAAATCGCGTTTCAAAGTCTCTCGTTCAGCGGGAAACAATGATCGCCCTTATTCTCAGTGCTATAACTATCGATACGAAGAACTCGCTAGACACAGCGAGCACTGAATTCTTTATGATTGAATTGCCGATGCACAAAGGATCGTGCTGACAAAAGATCTAAAGTGGAATTAAATTTCAATGGAAATAGAAACGAAATTTCGATACTCGAATATTCTCGTTTAAATTCGAAATTCGTCAAAGAATACACGCAAGAAATACTTGAAATAAAATAAATACTTGAAATAATACTTGAAATAAAATAAAACTATCAAACGAAATTACATTAACGTTCGATGTAAATCAAATTCATAGCAGTGAAACCAAGTCAAGTGCGTGAAATATTTGAAATATGAGTCAAACGAAAGATTTGCGTTATCAATTCAAATATCATCCTCCCCTCTTGTGATCATAGTCCATTTCAGTGCACGAGCGTCGCCTGTTCTATCTTCAATCTCTATCAACTTCGAGTTGGCTTAATAAAACAAATGAAAAAAAGAAGAAATATTCGCTAGAAAGGTCAACAGTGGCCAGAAAATATCCAGTATCGCTAGAGATTTCCATTAATGTATCGACTACAAGTAACTTTATACTCGGTCTACAATGAAACGAAACTTCTATCGACAGATGTGGTTTCCACCGCAACAGAAGGTACACTCGGTATTATTCGTCTTATTTCTATCGAGAGGCAAAAGAAAGAAAGGAATAGATCGCGGTACGATAGTGAGTTAATTAATCGTAGCTTGCGAAATTTTTGCGAAATATCTTGCGATATTTTTGGACGCGTCGATTCTTTTTGCTTTTTATTCTCGAGCGTTGTCTGTTTGCCTAATTCCGAGGGCTCACGAGGTCAATGTTACGCGGATTAATGCCTTCTCATCTCACTTTCACCGTACCACATGCTCGCTGTTCGCGATTTTAAAGCTACCAATTCTGGCATGTAATTTAGTAAACTAAATTTCATTTATACGAGAAAATTTCTCTAACCAGAGTTAAATCGATTTTTCAGAGGTCAAGTTCGATTTTGAATAGAACATTAAAATTCGGAGAGACGAAACTGTGAAATAAAATTTCGCTTAACTCGTCAATGAGAATTTCAATTTCCTTACGAAAGATTGATTATCTTAAGCATAATCTTTCTTCTTTAAATATTTCTTTCGCTTCTCGTTTAAGAAAAGAAGGGAACGATTTGCGAAGAAGTTTTTTCAAGAAAAATATTAGAAATATAATGATATTCACGTGTGCACTTTCTATGTTTTATCGACGATAAAAAACAATTTTAGGTTTCATTTTGTTAAAAAGTTTCCTTTTAAAAATACTCCTTTTATAATATTTATCAAGAAGTTTCTTCGAGAAAAGATATTACAAATATAATAATATTCATACACTTCGCTGTTTTATTTAACGACAAGAGACGATTTCACCTACGTTAAGAAATTCTGAAAATGAGATTGATTTCCTAAATGTTGTCTAATGTTTCGAGGAATAAAATAAAATAAGATCGAATTTCTGAGAACAGAAGCGACCTATCAAGTTGGTAGTTATGCAATTAGAGCATTTCAAAACTCAATTACACAGAAGCGATCGTTTTCTATTGAGTAAACTTCTCGTACCATTCATACCGCGTATCTGCCGGCACCGTCGTTGTTAATCCGACTACAGGCGACTTGATAAAGCAGTTAAAGAGGTCAACTGGCAGACGCTGATCGATTGTTCCGTAATTCTTCATTTCCTGCCACGATACGCTACCATGAATTTCAATAATTCCCGACGGTAGCATAGAACCCAAGTCTAACAGCCTTTCTTCGAACCAATTTAAGAATCCTCTTTGTTTTCTAGTCTTACGTAGATATTCCAGTCTTGTTCAGTTCGCTCAAAGAACAAATATTTCTTCTTTTTCTAAGATAATTGCTAGCATTCCTTTTGTTAAAAGATTTCTGTTCAAATCATCGGAACTTGAGAAAGTTGACAAATTCTGCTGTACTTTAGATACAGTTTTCGAAGATGAAACATATTTTGGAAATTCGAGGGATTAATTCAATGTACCGAATTTCGTACAATTTTAGAGAGTGAAATTGAAGTTTGAAAAATTTGTAGAAGACTGAATTCCGAGTACTAAGTTCGTCAAAATGCCAAAAACTAAATTTAAAAAGAGAAATTTTTTTAATGGATATATGAATTCAAAGCTTCGAATTTTTGTCATAGTTCAGAGATGAATTCAGTGTTACGAAATTCTCAGGAATTTCAAAGATTGAAACGTATCTTATAATTAATCGTATTGAAACATAATTATCGTTATTACCAAATGGATTATGACGATTTTAATACATAAATTCGATTAATGTACATAGGATTTCTAGTCTTCATCGTTAATGGTATTCCTAAATAAATTGTATTGACGTCAGACGAGGTTCGGAGCGCGTCACATTACCAAAACCAAAGTCAAACATCCGCGAAATGCTAGAGACGGGGCGATAGAAGCGACGGCTAACTGGAAATCGGAATAGGACATAACTGTTTCTCGAATTAATTTCCGAATGTTCATCTGAACAGCAAATTTCCGAAATCGGCGACGTAGAATCGATCTGTGACCCAGTCGCTCCGTTCTTCGTGTCGAAAGCAACCCAATTTCACTGTAGAAACTTGCACAAACAATTTCCAAACATTTCATCGTAGTCGAGAAATTACAAAATATAGCAATTTCAAGTATCGCGCAACCTACTTCAAATTTGCTCAAATTTTATTCTTTAAAATATGTCTAAAAAATATATTTTTCTTTTAAATGCGCAACTTATTCGGTGCAAACGTTTCAGTTCGTGAAGAGTTACAATTCAATTTAAACGAAGACAACATTTTTCATGCTATTTAACTGTAACCACAATCGTCAATTAAAAAATTCTCGACCGAACGATAAAACCAATCAATTTCGACTAGTATGGAGCGTGACAAAAACGATTGTGCCCACTCTTGTCGCATTCGCAGGATTTCCAGACGCGAAGGCGAACGAAACAACGGCTGGTTAGGCCGTTGACACGTTCGCCTAATCTCTATATTATCCCCGGGGAGGTATCGAGCCGGGACGGCCGACCGGATGCTGTTACATAGAATTTTTACGAGTGTTGAACGGCTCCAGCCGTGGAACCGCTCGCATACCATCGCCTTATGGGCTCCACGTGCGCGCCACTACTAGATACGAACCCTTCCAACGTCTACAACGATCCAGTTGCCCTAAATTCTTCAATATGCATCGATTAATTTTCTCAATCGTCATAATTATATTATAAAATGTGGATGACCAAATTCTTCAGTTTTAGAAAACTAAAAAAGAGTAAATTGAAAGATTCGAATTTTTCAAGATGTCGAAGAATGAACTTTATTATCTTGATCAACCAATCTAACTACAAAGGTCTTCAATTAAATCTATCAACATA